CACACACACACACACACACACACAAGATGCTACTAAAATATTTGATGAATACTTTCTTTTTTCTTTAATAGATAAAGCTTACTATTTAACAATTTCTTGAAATGTTTTATCGTATCTCTATCTTTTTCATCTTATTATTGATTTTAGTAACATCCTGAATAATTAATTTAAAATTTTACAAGATTTCATTACCAGAAACAAACGTTTGCTGCTTTGGCAGAAATGCGTGCCACCATCTTCTATTCGAATTCGTAAATTGATTGTAAGACAAATCTTTGGAATAACAACATGAACATCCTTTGCAAGGATTTGTATATTTCATTAATGCATTGCATTTCCAAGTCAAGTTCGATTTGTAACCATTGAACACATAGGCCGCATATCTGTTTATATTAAAATACAGAAAACATAAGACAAAGGCACAAGAAGTCTCATCAAAGAAATTAAGAGATTTACTTGCGTAAGGAACCCCAATACCAATATTTATCAACGTGTGCATGTGTATCGCTCCAAGCTCCCCATTTTATGCCTCCAACAGCATAAATTGGCTTTATGGGATTTTCAGGATCGTTCTTAAAATAAAAATTTCTATTTTAATGCAATTTGATCTACGTCAAACAAATGAAGTGTGATAAAAAAGGTACATACAGTCAATGATTTGATCTCAATGACATCTATCGATTTGAGATTATTCTTAATAATTGCCATTGTTGCATCAATCATGTGATGTACGTCAATTAAATCTTTATACCCTCGATAAAATATGCTCGCGATTGTATTTGTGTTTCCCAGTGGCAAAACGCCAATAGGACATTGTTTGGCTGAATGAAGATTGTGCTCATACTTCCTCATCAAGCCAGTTATAACATCTGATAAAGTACCATCTCCTCCTGCTACAATAATCGCATCGGTAGGTGTTTCCAAATTCGTTATTGTATTACGTGCATGGCTTCCTGATTGTGTGTCAATGACAGTTACAGAAATACCAGCCAAGTGTAATAGAGGCTCGCAGTACTTCTGAAATAATTTCTTAGCCTTTCTGAAAAGAGAAAACAAAGTCAGCAAAGAATGAACAACATTTCATAATATCGAAGTTCTCACAACTACCTTTTTTTAGCAGCTGGATTTAAAATAACAGTCACATGACGAGGCCTAATGTTTGTAGAACACGAAACATCTCCATACTGAACTACTTTTTCACAACACTGACGCATTAATTGCTCCGTACTAGATACATAATAACACAAATACATAATATAATAAAATTTAATGATATAAAGTCTTAACATTATATTTAAAGTTTATGTATATAAAAAAGATGTATCTGTTAAAAAAAAATCTATATTTATAGTTGTGAATAAATATATTCACAGTATCATACAGCATTACAATGAGTGATTTCCATTTAATGACACAAATTGACATACAAAAATTAGTTTATTTTTCTTGGCATTCAGTGAATAACAAAGATAAAACGATATTTGTGTCAACTTGTGTCACCAAATGAAAAGTCCTCAATGCGTGCATGTAAATTTAAAGAAGAGTTTGAGGTTATGTTCCTCATGATTACTACTCACTCGTATGCTTGTTTACCGTATGATATTCCATACGAAAAGGCCGCGGCTCCTACCACAGATTTCTTCCAGTTATTACGTATCGTCTTCAGTAGAGTTAACACCTTAGCCATCGTCAATTAAAATCTTAAAACCATTTGGAGTCTAACCACTTTCTGCCGTTCTCTGTTATTCGAATCCACGCGATTCGATTCGTCTTTATCTCCCTTACCTCGCGATTTGTTCTAATTCTCTACAAGTTTATTGATTTCTGAATTTCATGTTATATAATTTATTAATTTCATATTACTTTCATTCTATATAAAATGTAGAATAGAAAAATTACGTCGCTCTCACCGCATCGCAAATATTTTTGAATTTACAGATAAACCAACAGAATAACATATAGGGACTTGGAATTTCTGTTTCTGTTTTCCATTAAAAAAAACCTAGCGCAATATACTGATATTCTTCATTAAATGCAAAATAATTTACATATTTTCATTGTTAATAAATAATTTAACCCTTTTAATTACATATTTTTTTGATGCATCGGTAATCTCAAAAAGATTTAAATATTTATTGATTATAAGTACGATATTAACGTTGAAAATATCGTAAAATGATTTGCACTCAATTGTATCAAGTGCTGCATTTTCCGAGTGGAAAATGCAGCACTTGATGCAACTCTACTAGGGAATTAATTCCGCCGAGAGCAATACTGCAGCTAGAGATATTTCTTATTTCTCATTCTGCCACGAACGGGGCACTCGTTTTCCTTTTCAATAACCAAGATGTCTAAAAGAGGTGAGTTTGTTTTCGAGCAATTAAAATCCGGGAAAATCGATGCCGGGGCGATTCATCGGTCTCGAGCGAAAATACGGGAAGACGAAAGCACGTTTCGTGCGTGCGACAGGACGAAACGTTATTTCGTTAACGATGTATTCACGAAAATAAAAGAATGGTCTTTCTAATGCCGCTGTCTTAATGCATCATTTGTTGTTTCTCAAGGACGTGGTGGATCGGCTGGAGCCAAGTTCAGGATATCCTTGGGTCTACCAGTCGGTGCAGTTATCAATTGCGCCGATAACACTGGTGAGTCTGAGAAATAGCTTTTGCATGATATTTAACCTCAAAGGGCCTCGACTGCACGCCTCACGAGCAAGAGAAGCACATGGTTGACCGTCATTTGCGATTATCAAATATTTTTACGACTATTTTGTGTTGTTGATTAATTTTGATTGCTGCAGCTTTATTGTACACCCAACTGTTAAAAGAATAAGGATACTAATAAAAAATGTAACTCATAATTTATGGCTGTGTTTAACAGAGAAAATTGATCAGTGACATGATTGTTTCAATATGATTAATTTTTGCGTACTTATAATTAGAAGCAGCAAATAATTGAAGACAAGAACCAATCATATTAAAGAATTACTAAACACTGATCAGTTTTTTTCTGCTGAATGCAACCAGTACTATTTTTTGTAAGCATCAATGAAAAGTATTGTAATTGTAAAGTTGTATCTTTTATTTAGTGTTATTTCTATAATAGTTTTTTTCTCTTGAACATTTTTTAACACTGTAATAGAAGCAAATATTTACAAAGTTACACGATAATTAAATATGGATTAAGAGAAAGAATTAATTATGTAAATATCGAGTCATGTAAATAAGTTAAAATTGTTTGCAGTATACGATACATGTTTTGTATACATAATGTACCATAACTAATTTCTGTTTTCATCAATGTAAATTAACTTTAATCTTGTTTCAATTTAATATAGTAGAGATCTTCGTCTTTAGGATTGGTCAAAATTGGAAGTTTCGAATAATATAATATTCTTGGTTCATGAATTTAATTAATTTCAAATGTGACTGCGTGCCAAAACGTTCAGACATTAAAACACAATATTATTTTAGCCAGGATCCTGGCTGAAGTAATATTTTTTGCAATAAGTTTCTTATTTGAAATAAAGGAGGGATTATATATATTCGCGATTGTCTGAATGTTTTCGAAATCAATCGCGATTATCAGCATCTCAGATTGATTGTGTTTTAATGTTCAAACATTTTTTTTTATGGAAGTGGGTATTAGTCATAATTTTTAACTCTAGCAGATATATTCATTTATTAATTTTTATTCTGCTGATGATACATTTCTCTGTAACAATGCTATTATTTTTAGGTGCCAAGAACCTGTATGTCATCGCAGTGCAAGGAATTAAGGGCCGGTTGAACCGCCTGCCAGCAGCGGGATCTGGCGATATGATTGTTGCCACCGTGAAGAAGGGAAAGCCTGAACTTAGGAAAAAGGGTAAATTAAGTCTGTTATGTACAATGCAGGTTTTCCTGTTGGATTGCTTGTATTTTTGAAAATTACTAAAATTTTTGTATTCTGTGGTCTGTTCAGATATCCAGGTATCATGTTATCCTTGTTTAACATTCGGTAAACAACAAGGATAAAATGACACCTGGGTGGCACTCAGGTAAGAATCTGAACACAGCCCTGTGTGATATTATTTTAGCAATTTACTAAAACGCAAATAATTCAGTAGGAAAACAAGCACATACTGTAGACTTTACTCTCTTGTTATCTTCCGTTCTTTTTTCTCTAGAAAAAAAGTCTTTCGAGGAATTTTGAATAAATATGTGTATCATTGCAGTGATGCCCGCGGTGGTCATACGGCAACGGAAACCATTTCGAAGGAAGGATGGGACGTTTATATATTTCGAGGACAATGCTGGTGTGATTGTTAACAACAAGGGTGAAATGAAAGGATCAGCTATTACGGGACCTGTTGCGAAGGAATGCGCAGATTTGTGGCCAAGAATTGCATCTAATGCCAGCAGTATCGCGTAATTCATATCCTGTATAAATTACTGTCCTTTACAATAAATCCAAAAATAAGTAGTACTCTTTTGAATTCATTGTTTGTTGTGAACGAGTATGTGTCCAAAATTTGTATCAAAATTCCTATTAAAAAGAAAACCTTTTGAAATTTCAGGATAAATTAGAGTTTCTTCACCTTATTATTTTACTTCATTTTGAAGTACACAATTGATCATCTGGGCCCCTATTCTTGAAAAGAAACTTATGCGAAAGTCTTATACTATATCTGTTTCATCAGTTTCATTTTGACTCTTTATAAAATGGGAAAAACCATATTTAACAAGATGAAGAGAAGATGAGTATCCCGATGCGACTCATCTGTATAACATTTACACGGTCACCCTTGATCGGGTTAATAACATTTATAGTTAAAAACTAACCAATCAATCATTCCATTCTTCAGAGAAATAGTTATTATCGGTCAGTTTTATAACTAGAAATGTTATTAAACCCGTGTAAACGTAAGTCGCGGTTGATTCACGCTCACACGCTTAAAAATCACTTTATCCTTGTTGTTTGTCAAATGTTAAACAAAGATAATGATGCTCATGAGCGTTGTCAGCATGAATCGGACCACGGCTATAGTCTGTATCTCGTATGAGCTTGTCGAGACGTTCGAATGTTTTCCACTCAGATCAACATTTCAGACAAATTTTGCTTATAGCAATCTACCTATTTCAGGCAAATTTTGACTTCAGATTCGTAATGAGCGACCCATAAAACCTACTTGATCCCATTTTACAGTCCCAGAATTAATTTTTTAATTTTTTGTCTGCCATATTGGATCCGCCATTTTGAATTTTGAAAATCTGAGGTCAGATTCGTAATCAACGATCCCGAAAACCCCCGAGTATCCAATTTCGTCCTAAGTTCGTCAAGTAACTTTTTACTTCCAACATGAATTTTTTCTGAAAAATACACTATTTTTTACACTATAAGGTTTAAAAATCTATTGTGGAGTATGTGTTGTCGCACGCAAAATTTCTGTAACAGTAAGGGACTCCGCACAATAAAAGGAACAGAGAATAGAGAATAAGAATTTCAACTTATCAGAAATCATGTATTGTGGAATATACAGTTTCTGATAGGTTGAAATTCTTATTCTCTGTTCTCTGTTCCTTTTATTGTGCGGAGTCCCTTTATGCATTCGTAGTGTTAGACTGTGTTCCAAAATTTGCTGCCAGTGCTGAAAATGTATAATATACGTGACGTAAACTGTAGATTTTCTCCGCTGGCAGTGAATATTGGAACATGGCTCTAGAGAATTTTTCACATCGACCAATCGGCGGTCTCCTCGCTGACAATGAATCCCATTGGCACAACTGATTGGTAATGTCTTAGTTTTCTTTTTGCTTTTCGCTTGCTCTTTTAACGCGATAAGATCAACTAATAAAATCGAGAAAAACGCCTGTTCTTTGTTGCTGCAATGGATTGCATCAAAATTTATTATCTGGCTTTCATTAAACGTTAATTATATATATAAATATATTTATTTATATTTATGTATATATATTAATTTAACTCAGGTACAAAGAACAGATTTAAATTCCCGCCACTATGGGTGCGTTCCGAATTCCGCATATGCATCAGTTGTCCTTGTTGTTCACCAAATAATAAAAAAGGATAAAATGATACATCATGCGCTTCATGCATAACTCGGAACGCACCTTATATTCGTTATGTCAGTAGCTATTGCAGCCTCGGTCGGGGTGTCGAAGATTACGAGTTGTGCATTTACCTTACCGTGTGTGCATCGTATTGTGATCGTAGTAACGCCGTGATTGGAAATCTTTGTGTGTGGTCATACCGCGTTTCGTCAGTGAAAGTCTCGAGGTGAGTATCCCGGTGACGGGGCAATTGATCCTGGTTTATCCGCGGTTCGTGTCTTGTTCTTCATTCGAACGACCCACGTCTTGTTCGTATCATCAAGAAGACTCAACGTCTCTTGGTGAAACTCTGTACATACATAGCCGTGTCGATATACGTGTTGCATTGCGTATGTCGCTGGCCATTTTAGCAAATAATTCTGTTAAAAAGAAGGGGCAGAAAAAAAGGGGATCGGAATGCGAATGGCGAATTTATGTAATGCGGGATCTAATCGGTATTCCATCGTTGCGCGATTAATATCCATAACTTGAGACATGCAACCTTTTTTTTGACGTCTCTTCTGCGTTAACACGGGGTTGTGGACGACGATCGTGCTAAATCAGTGACGATGTTGTGCTAGCTGTGTCTACAACTTCGACACAACTTGCGATTCTCTGCAATGATTTATATTGTAGACTTACATCAGGATTTTTCTTGTTAATCTATTTTTTTTTTAATTCAGTTTTATCTTTAAAAAGTTATGATAACGAAAATGTTTTATCTTTCTGAAATGTCGAAATGGTGAATTTCTCGAGAGATAAACAAGCTATTTTGAATTTTGTTTTGACTTTTTAAAGCTATGACGACAAGAATGTTTTGGCTCTTTGAAAAGTCACAGTGACATAAAGCTTTTTAAAAAAAGATCTTGATATTTGTTTGTCGAGTTTGAAATAATTGTTACTTTTGTATTTAATACCAAATACTTTGTGATTTATAGGCCTAAATTTATTGATAAATTTTATTTCTATGCATGCTTTTATTTCTATATAAATTCTATATATTATGTGTAATATGGACTATATGTATATTAATTATTCAATAATGTCGGTATGCATTCTGAATACAGACCTTAATGTTTTGGATGCTATGAAGTTGTTCATTTAATTAAAAGAAAAAAGTTTTTGATAGATGTTGATAGATTTCAGGTAGATAAGAAGAATCTTTTTTCATGATTTTTTAAAAATAATTTACTCAAATGTATATGCATACTTAAAATATACTTATTATATGTAAAGTATACATATATACATAAATTAATATTTTATATATATATATCCTTTATATGTAATGAGTATAGCTTGTAATATGTAAAGAGATTTCTCATTATTTATTATACAAATTTTTATAATCATCACTTTTTAGATAAACGTTGGACATGTTGCAACTGCAGATTGTGCATCTTTGAAGGGATGATTGCTGACATTCTGAATAAACAAAAGGAATACATCTAAATCTTGAAAATGGACTCCGAAAATAACATATATGATGTCAACAAGGATTCTGTCGAATCTAGGAAGGTGCAATCAAATTCATTAGAAGATTCAAGCATCTCAACGAATGTAGACAGTTCTAGTGTTACATCCGATAACAGTGTACCTTCAAAAGACGCTAGTCATATAGTCGGATTTGATAATAATCTTGCTTGTGGATCTATGCAAAATGAACAAGCAAACGAGCCTATGGAACTTTCTACAGACGACGAAATTAAAATAATAACTGATAATTGCGACAAAACTAAAAATGTGATAAAAGAAATCTTATATGCTACCAATTTTAATTCAGTTGATTTATCAGAAGCGACTACTTCGCAAGACAATAGTCCGTCTTCTTCTTATACTAACGAAGCAAATGCATTATACACAGATCAGAATAAAGTCAAAAGAAGTATCTCTAAAGGTCAGGTACATGCCGGTAGTGGCACGTCGATAGAAAAATCAGATGATAGCTCAGACGAAGATTCTAGTAAGCGGCAGAAATTAAATAAGAGTGCATGTAACACCAGTACTGGAAACGTAAATGACGATACAGTGACGTTTCAAAGGAACAAATCAAAAGTAAAACAGCGAAATTATCGTAAGAGACGAAATATAACAAGCGATAATGATGATAGTTCTAGTAATACCTTGTCTAATGAAGTAACAAGAGAAGCTCCCATTCCTGATGCAGATGAAGGTAATTGTTTTCTTATATATAAAATTTTGAATAATGATTTATGTATATTTATTAATCATAATTTTGTGATATCTATAATTACGTTTAAAAAGTCTCGTTGAATGATACATATGATCATAAAAATATATTAATAATAATGTTAAGTAATTATATTTGATAATACTAATAATTACATATAAATTATCTACATGGAAATAATTTTAGGAAATGTTGCATCTGCCAGTACTAAAAATGATTCGGCTCAAAATGAAACATCAAATAGAAGTTTAGAAACTCATAGAGCAGGATCAGAAACACCCAATGACGAATCTGATCGATATAAAGACGAAAGAGGTATTTATATTTTTTTAATGTACCACTTGTTTGGTAAGATGTAAAATTTTAAATTATGAACAGCCGATTCGAATGAATGGAGAGCTAATGAAGATGAATGGGATGAAGAAGAGGAAGATGAGGATGAGGACGAAGAAATACCTCATTGCCTAAAAATAGAGAAACCACCTCCTAATTGGCGTATTGTACCGGAAGTGATAAATCGGCAAATAGGTAGCAATCCGTTATTCCAAAGAAGGTTCTATGGTTCTTTACATGCAGTAGAGCGACTTGAGCTTATGTATAATCTTAACGAACATCAGGTAAATTATTCACCTTGTAAACGCTACGCATTGAGCTATATGATGTTTTATAGAATCATTAGGTAGACTATTTTTTAATGCTTATTTAGTGGTATATATTAACATTTGATTATTTATAGGGTTGCGTAAATGCCTTAAATTTCAATCAAAAAGGAAATTTATTAGCCAGTGCCTCTGATGATTTAGCAGTTGTTATTTGGGATTGGGCTGTAGGAAAAAAACGTCACTGGTTTATGAGTGGCCATACAAGTAATATGTTTCAAGTATGTACTTATATATACTTATAGTTAAAGTATTGCGATTGGAGTATTTTATCAATTATAAAGGTTTATTATTATTAATTATATCTACATAATTATATATTTATCTTCTTTATTTTTTTAATTTAATCTTTTAGGCTAAGTGGTTGCCGTTAGATATGGAGTATCTTATGGTCACTTGTGCTAGAGACGGTCAGGTACGTTTGCTGGATCTTGAACACGACACATCGAAGAAATTGGCAGCACATCGTGGACCATCGCACAAATTGGCTGTGCATCCTGAAACACCACATGTAGTCTTTTCTGCTGG